ATCTCCATACTTGGAGTGGGGAGCTGGGAGAGATTGAAAGAGAGAAGAAGACTCATAAACAGGAGCTTTCACAAGATCATGAGAAAGGTCACACATGACTTGCACCTATGACCCTCCCTCTTGGTATGACCACACCTCTAAGCCATTCTAAACTGTGAGTGTCTGATAGGAAAATGCTCATTCCCAGCACCCCCACCCCAGGTGTAAAGTTGGTGTCTGGGAGCAGAAGCCCACCAGCTGTGAGAGCACTGAGCCTTTGCCACTCTGTAGAGGGAAATCATTTTTTTCTGCCATCCTGCATATGGGAAAACACCACCAGGGAACTGAGCATGATTCGTAAAGTTGGTGTCTGGGAGCAGAAGCCCACCAGCTGTGAGAGCACTGAGCCTTTGCCACTCCGTAGAGGGAAATCATTTTTTTCTGCCATCCTGCATATGGGAAAACACCACCAGGGAACTGAGCATGATTCCCCCAAAATCATGCAACTAGTTCTCCCCAGGATCATGCAGACAGCCAGAGACTGCTCACAATGGGCTATTTCCCTAAGCAGGGACTTGCAGGGACACAGCCACACCCATTGAGTCCTGCAGCTGAGGCAGGCCTGCAGGATGAACTGACCTGCACTCAGCGTTGACTCCCTTCTGGTCACCCTGAGCTAGGCAGGAGCCCTTTTCTTTAAAAGAAAGGATGATGTTATATCCTCCTGATCTTGGGGCCCTGAGGGTTGAGAACAGTCCTCATAGGCTTACACAGGAAGCCCAATTATTGAGCCTCAACTGTTATTTATGTGTTGAATTCCCTAGTGGAGGTACCAGTCTCTAAGTCCCAGGATGTTGGAGCACTCTCTCTGTGCATTCAAGAAGGGTCCAGACTTTCTCCCCTAAATGCAGTGCTTTTAGTCTTTGCCCCGCCTGGACTGTCCAGGCAGGGCTCTCTGCAGCCCCCACTCAGTCTCCTGGGTCAGGCTACCCAGTGGCCAGCAGGGTAGTGGGTGGGCACCCTGCCTCCCCAGCAGTTCTGGGAAGAGGCAGAACCACAGTTACATGGTGACAATTGGAAGTCGGCCTCCTGACCTGAGCCTTATTCACATGTGGATTTGGGTTGGGGTTGGGGAAGACACAGCTGTAGACCAAATCATTTGTCAGTCTACAAGTTCAGCCTCGCTGAGCTGTATGCCTCAGCCTTTCCAGGGCACACTCTCCCATTTCTGCCAGCCCTCCAGTCAGGGAGCAACAGAGGGCCAGGTCACAGATGAAGAGCATCCTACCCATGCCTTCCCCTGCTCCAGCAGGGACTCCAGAAGAAGTAGGTGGGAGCTGTGGCCCACAAATCACACTAGCCCTGAATACCTGCAGGGACCTGTGATGGGGCCAGAGGCCAACACAGATGAAACTGGCACACATGTATAGGCCCCTCACTGTCTGAAAACCATGATGTGTGCCAGTCTTAGCACTCCTAACCCCATCCACCCCCTATTCCCATCACCTTGATCTTGTTCAGATCCAGACACAAACTTGTTCTCCACTGGCTTGGCATCCCATGTAAGCCTAAGCGCACAGAACTGAGCACACTGTGTAATGAAGTCACAGAACAGAAAGAATGTAGGGGCACAGCAGAGAGAAGAGCCTCTGGTCTGCACACATCGGGAGCTGAGGTCCTATCCTGGCCCTGAGGTGACTTATCAAGAGCTCAGACCAAGACCCCAGCTTCTGGGCCTAAGGTGCCCCCCTGTAGCATGATAGGGTGGTCCCTGGAGTCCTTTCCAGGTGTGACTTCCTATCAACTCTACCAAGCAGCACCATAGTGACATCTACCCATATATAGGCACCTATCACATGCTAGTTATTACGCTAAGAGTTTTATGCACTTCATCCAATATTGATACCTGCAAGTGCCCAATGGGATGGGTACAATTATTACCGCCATTTTACAGAAAAGGAAACTGAGACTCGGAGGGATTAGCAAACATGCTAGAGGGCACACAGCTGGTAAGTGCAGGAGCCAGGACTTGAACCCAGGCAGCCAGACTCCACCCTCTACCCGGCAAGCCCTGAGGCTGGTGCATCAGCATGCAGCCAGCATGTCATACCAAGCCAGTCCCCTCCTAGCCTAGGCTTGCTCTGTGCTTGTGACCTGCCTCCATTCTGCATGCCTAGTCACACTGCAGATCAGGTGGATGTCTCCTCCCTTTTCAAAGCTACTCTGGGCTGTCACTCGGCAGCTGGGAAGCTCTGTTCCAGCCAAATGCTGGGCCTGGGCTGGGCCAAGCAGTTCCCATTTCACTCAGGTTTTTCCCTTTGTTGGTATTGTTGGTTTCAATTCAACTAGCTAAGCCTAGCCCTTTATTAAACAAGAAGTGCTTTAAAAACAAAAACAAAATAAAGGCCGGCTCCCAGACCTCCTGAGGGAGTTGCTTTGTTCAGAGCAGTAGGATCCTGGGCACCAGGGGAAAGAACAGGACTCAACCTGTCAGCGAAACACCAGAGCTCAGTTCCCCCAGAGCCCAACCACAGCAGGCACGCAGGCAGCACCAGCCAGGCAAACCTGTGTGGGAGGGGTGGGGAGGGACAGATGGGCAATGGAGGAGGAGAGTTTGATCTGCGTTTGTCCTTTCTCTCAGCAGCAGCAATGAGGAGAGCCCCAAGAAGGACACAGAGCCTTGGAGCAGCCCCTGTGCCCCAGAACTGCAGGGCAGCGGCTGGCGGGCACCTGCCCCAGAGCTCTGCGTGCTGGGCCATGGGCTGCAACGGGAGGCCCGCACCGGCTGCATCCAGGACAAACCCCAGCCAGAGACACAGCCCCTGCAGAAGGAGGTGGCCTGATAGTCTGGCCAACAGGGTCACACTGGTGTCACTCATCCCAAAAGACAAAGGATGACAGCCAAGCATCCAGGCTGCCTCATAGATGGTGGGCAAACTAAACTTCCACTGAGGTGCATGGCCCTGCAGCTCTGCGAAATTTTAACCCACCAATGTTTTCAGTCCCAGATCCTTCTCTGCCTTGGGGTTCAAAGGTTAACCAGAACTTTAGACCCCACAATGACACCCTTTAATCCTTCAAGTGCTGGCCTTAACTGGGGGGAGGGGGATATTTATTGCATGTTCAGTGGGCCAGGTGTTTAACCTCGGTTAGCTCCATGAAATCATTTAATCCTCACAACAATGAATGAAGTAGATATCATTCTCCAGTTTTGCAGAAATAAAAACAAAAGGTGTGGTGGGAGGAAGCCCCCAAGTATCTTGCCTGAGGTCATACAGCTTAGAGGAGAGTAGAGCAAAAATGTATACAGGTGTATCTGGCCCTAGATTATATGTACTTTTTACTACATGTCTTTGCCCGTGAGTATTCCATCATTCCACCTGCCTGAAGCATACAGAGTTGTACAAATTGTTGGAAAGGTTTGTGGTTTTTTTAAGGTTAAGTAGTAGCACAGCATTGCAGTCCCCATTAAGAGCTTCTTTTAGAAGCTAATTGCTCCCCAGATGAGCAGACAGGTAGGATTATTATGCACAGCCCCACCCACCCTCCTTCCTCCCCTCCTTCCCAAGCTCAGCTCAACGCTGCTGTGAACTTGGAGTTTCCAGCTCCGCCACAGCCACACTGCCTCTCAGCCTAAGTGTGTATCAAATGCTCTCACCGCCCACACATCGACATGCTTCCTGGACTGAGTGGGTACAACCAAGCCTCCCAAACAAGGCAGCCTATTCTCTGAACCCGTGGGCACCAGAGCTCAGGAAACAGTGTGGGTAAGGCACACGTGAGGCTGCCCGTGAGGCTTCTTAGCCAAATTTATTTGCAGGTCATCTGTAGAACTTCTGCAGGAGATGAAATTAAAGTGGAGAGCAGTCGTTCAGGCCAAAAACCTGCTTCTGCCCATGAGCTAGATATTTGCAGCAGATCTTAGAATTTTTCCACTGGAGGCTGTAGAGCGCTTTCTATTAGAAAAGAATTTGCAGTAATTGGGTGATTCGATGCCTTCTCAAAGACAAGAATTCTCACCCATGAATACAGCTAAAGGGAAATTCTCTAGATCTTCTGCAAAGATGATTTTTTAGGTTTGGAGAAATTATAGACCTCAAGTCCTTTCTTGTTGAAATAGCTCATGGGCTCAAGAACGTGTTAAACCAGGTCCTAGCGACTACACCTGCCTCTCCCAACAGAATGAACCCCACCTTAATTTGTCCAGTTGTTAAGAAGGGGGTGACAGGGCTCGTCTCTCCAAAGGCACCCAAAGAATAGCTGATTGAACTACCAATAGGGGCCACAACCCACCCCTCTATTGGAAAATGTCTGTGCACCCCCGGGTATACGCTCACATTTGCATTGATCTCAGAGCAATGCTCAGGCCACAGCTGGGCCTGCCAGTTCTCAGCCACACCCACAGCTGGGTGGACACTTAGGAACTGCCTGGGCTGCAGGCCATGGGAGGGAATCCAACTACCCAGGCGGGACGGGCAGGGGCTGAGGTAAGTGTGTGAGAATAAACTAGGTTCAGGAAACGTGCTTGATAGAGACCGGGGCATTCTCCCTAAATGGTTGGGCAGGCAGCATGGATCACAAGGGGCTGGGCCCTGGGTAAGCTGGGCACTGAGCTGAGCAAGCAGGAGGCAAACAGTGTGGGTGGCCTTCGAGACCCAGCTCACAGGTAAGTGGCTTCAGGGAGGACTGATCAGAAAGTGGACCCTGCCCTGTGCTAGGATATAGGGGCAGGATTCCTGGAGGTCTGAAGAAACAGGCAGAACCCCAGCAGCAGGGAGACTGGACAGGGATGCATGGATGAAATTGGGGTACAATGTGGGGGCATACCAGCAGGGACACTGGGAACCAAGGTGTGAACAGAGCCAGATCAGCGGGGGGGTGGGGCGGCGGAGGGGTGAGGCTGAGTCACCTGCCTGGGCCTCCGTCCTTCAAGGGCTTCACTTAGAAGCTCAGGTCAGGGCTGGGTTGAGTGTGTAGGTGGTAGCTGAGTGCCCAACTGAGGTGAGGAGGGCTGGAGGTGGGCAGCTGGGAGCCAGGCCACATATGACATCATGGAGGGGTCAGTATCACAGAGAATGTCCCAGAACAGTCTGGAATGAGCTCCTGCTGCCCACTGTGAGTGTGCATTGCAGCCAGAAGGCTCTCCAAGACTACACATTGCCCCTCCCCTAAGCCAGGCTGGTAAGCAGCAGTGAACACTCTCCCCGGCCATGCTGCTGCAGTAGAGGAGGGGTACAGAGGTACAGGAGCTTCCCAGGTTCCTGCCAGCATCTGTGGAGCAGTCCAGGATGCCTCCCTATCCCTCTGAAGGTCTTCTTCACTGACTGAGCACCTAGGTGTGCCAGGAGAATGCTAGGCTCCTGCCAGATGTCCCCACATGCAATGTAATGAAAGCCCCAGCTGTCTCCAGGCCCAGACAGCAGGGAGGGTGAGCTGGTATAGCCCCAGTGACCCAAAAGCTGCGGGAATTCCCAGTCAACCTCCCCTGTGGAAGATGGGAAGGGGTTCCCAAGGCCAAGGGGATGGGGGTCTGAGGGACGATGAAGGTCAAAGGTTAAGCAGCCCTGAGCTGGCACAGGAGTGGGTGGGTGAAAGACATGGTTTTTTTTTTTGGTGACCATACCAACTACCAGACTCAGGTCGAGTCACATGTGAGTTGGACTTTGTATGAAAGAAATTAAAACTACCACAAAGGACCAGTTTTGTGGTAACAACTCAGTGGCACCCCTCCTAGACCAGGCTGCCCCCCAAGCCCAGGTCTATGGTTCTGCCTGGTGGGCACATCACGGGTGGCCATGACAGGCCACTCTCACCAACCCCTACCCCCACCCTCCACCCAGAACCCTGATCCTTGCTGGGCCAAATCAACTTCCTTTGCTCAAGGCAGAAGGGAAGACATCTTCTCTTTGTTTTTGTTTTTTTCCAAACACAATAGACCCAACCCATCCAGGACTCACGAGTCTGCACTTTTTCTTCATAATTATAAACCAGGAAGAAATGTCAGGTATAAAGGCAAGGAGGAGCCCACCACAGGTCAATTTAAGGGGTGCACATCATACCCATATTCTTACCTGGGCCAGCTCCTTTCTGGAGATGTACAGCCCTTGTCTTCCATCCCCATGGGGACCCCCAGAGCTGTGGAGAGGGAGGTGCTCAGCCCCACCTTCATATGACACATTAGAAACATAGCAAATGGTTCTGCCCCAGAGGAAAATCACAATTTTCTGGTTCCATCAAAAGGATTCATGGAGAAAAGAAGGCAAATATAATATTCTGGCAGTACAGTGATGCTTTTTGCGAGTATAAATACAATCTGCAAGATGAAATATAACCTGTCTCTGCAGCATGGGTCTGTGCCACTGTTTACTACAGCAGCATCTGTGTTCCTTGCGCACATCATATGCCCAGTTCAAAACCTAAAATAATCCATATTGATAGAAAATACAGGGCAGACAGACCAAAGAGACTTTTCTTTCATTGTGAAGAGCTTGTGTTTGACAAGACTTGCTTCATACACACTACAATGCAAATGAAAGGGATTTTGAGAAATACATTCTTTTTCTAAAATAAACCATATAAAATAAATACATTCTTTTTCTAAAATAAACCAATAAAATTAAATACATTCTTTTTCTAAAATAAACCATATAAAATAAATACATTCTTTTTCTAAAATAAACCATATAAAATAAATACATTCTTTTTCTAAAATAAACCATATAAAATAAATACATTCTTTTTCTAAAATAAACCATATAAAATAAATACATTCTTTTTCTAAAATAAACCATATAAAATAAATACATTCTTTTTCTAAAATAAACCATATAAAATAAATACATTCTTTTTCTAAAATAAACCATATAAAATAAATACATTCTTTTTCTAAAATAAACCATATAAAATAAATACATTCTTTTTCTAAAATAAACCATATAAAATAAATACATTCTTTTTCTAAAATAAACCATATAAAATAAATACATTCTTTTTCTAAAATAAACCAATAAAATAGTGTTTTGCATGTATCAGGGGAGACAGTTCAGTGAATTATAAGTGTTGACATGTTTGTCAATTGATCATCTGCTTGACTGCTCGCAAGGCGCGAAGCACCTACTCTATCTTTCAAAGGAAATCTTTTCAAAGGTAATATATTTTTAAGAAGCCCCACATCAAAGATTCTGTAGAATTGCCATAAAGTAAATGTGTTCTGAGCCTATATTAACAGAACATGTTAGACTGCACTATCGTTTACTCCCTGTGCCTACCTCAAGTTTAAATAAAGTTCCATCAATCCATCCAGACATTTTTATGAAATGTAATTAAAGATGCATTGCACACGAAGAGGAGCAAACAGTTAATTCACTCAGCTCTCTAATTCAATTTTATGGCGGGCTCCAAACACTGCTGGCTTGATCATAGATGTGGACTTGAGGAAGTAACTTCTCTGATAGTCTGTGGGCCCTGCAGCAGGCGACTGCAGAGTTTAGACACGAAAAAAGACAAAAAGGAAAAAAAAAAAGAAGAGGAGAGAGAAAGAAGGGATGTGGTAAGTGTGCCGCTCACCCTAACAGGAATGAGCACACAGGAGCCTGAGTCCTGATACCCCCTTGACCCTGCGCTGTGACCTGGCTTCTCTGGGCCCATCTCTTATCTGCAAAGCAGCAATAATAATGCCAGCCTGCTTATCCCGCCACCTGCAAGACATGGGCAAACCTGTCTTTTCTCAGCCACCCTTTTGAGCCATCTTGAACTCATAATCTCACTGGCCATGTTTGTTTTTAATGTTCATCTACTGCACTTTAAGATTCTGATTAGGAACTCAGTACTGTTTTCTCCTCAT